AGCTTGTGGCTCTTTTCTAAACCCTAGTGAGCTGCCTACTTTTACAGACAGCATTTTTAGGCATCATAGGCAATTAGGCATGGTACGGACACCTTTTTCAAATGGCAGACATCTAAAATGATGCTGTCTTAAAAGATACATTGTTTTGGCTAAAATCTATGTCACTATTGTATGTATGCATCATGGATAAGACATCTCCGAATGCATCCATTGAAAAGTTTTATCCAGGAGTGTCCTACTTATTACATGAAACAAAAACACACAAGAGACTAATGCTGCATTTATACCATGCCGTAATTACTGTTATTCTAATTATTATTGCATTAAGTCATAGTCAATTATGAGAATTATTAGACATAAGTATTACAGAAAAAATACACTGCTATTTTGAGTGTTCCCACATGATGTTGCAGTGATCAGGTGGTACAAGTTCAAGCTTTGATGGTTTTTAGACTGGGTTTGGGAACTTGTCAGGTTGAGGGACAATTGCTACCAATGAAAACGGTTTCAATTCAGTCATTTATGAGGTTCCTTTTTGGTTAGAATGCTACTTTAGATTGTAGCTGCCTATGCAGACAGCTTACAATAAGGCAGCGTACTATGATTTGGAACAGAGCCACTGTGGCATTCAACACTTGAGAGCACCTCATTACCTGACACCAGTCAGTTACTCTCCTCCGAGCACAACTTCATGAAGTTCCTCTTCTAAAGGCATTCTAGGGTCTTCACAGGCATCATAATCAACATAAAGCATGGTGACCAGAACTGCGAAGATCCTGCTTTGGTCATACCTTGCTATGGGAGTTTAATATAACAAGTGAAAGTGCACTGATTAACTTGCATGGCTGTGCACTAATCATGCACAGAATACAGGAATTGTCAGGTGGTATTTCTTATCTCTGTATTACCAAAACAATGTTTTTACTCTACAAATTACCCACTTTGCAAATAGAGTTCATATTTGAATTTCCAGATTTGGTAAATGAATAAGCTGTCACAACACATTATCCATAATACTTCATTTGTTTCATCCAGACTGTCCCAGGCTACTTAACACATTCACTAACAAGAATCATGAGTTGCATATTCAGTCAGAATGGAGACCTTGGGAAATGCCTGTCCTCCACTTCTGGAAAATTATCAATTAATAAGCTGAAAGTGTAACCAAGCACACACACACACACATACATACATATATATATGCACATACAACCAGGGTCCAGATAGATAGATAGATCGATCAATAACAGAGAACAATCTACAAATACTTGTTCTTTTCTGAAATACTGTTAATCTCCATTGCTCAAAATTTGAAAGAATATTAGCTGTGGGTATACCACTGTTCAACTAACATGTTTGACAACATGCTCCTCAGCAAAGGTTAGTCTAGCCTTTTGATTCTTTCTGCTGATGAGAGGCTTGGTCACTACAGATTACGCTTTCAGTACGACTTCTCTTAAATGTGCCGAGTCAGATCCATACCCTGTTCAGCACTGGTGAGCAATTTCAGCTGCAGTGTTGAACCGATTCCCCATTGAGTCTCTCTGCATTATCCTGTCTTCTAGTGCATTTGTCTTACGTGGACAACCAGCCTTTTTGGGGGACTTGAATCAATTAGTGTCATTTTAAAGATGCAATATTCAAGAAAGTACAGATTTGGAACGACAAACTTCTCGTGCAGTGGCTGAAAGGGTCATCGCTCTGGCCTACATCTGGACAACCTTCTGTCGCAGGATTTCAGTCACCTTAGAGCTGCCCGTCATCTTGCAATCTCAGTGAAAATTAGAGGAATGCTGCCAGTTAAATAGGGTTTGTCATATAATTAAGAAAATTAGCACCAGATGCCAGATTAACACCAATAACTTGGAGGTGTCTGTAAGTGTTCTCTAATTTTGATCAGAATTCTTTTTCAAATATCTCATGTATTTATACTGTGCTTAACAATATGATTAATTTATGAAATATGCTTAAAAACGGGCCTTTTACTCCTGTTAGAATGACTTCAAATAGGACTAAGGGGTGACCTTGAAATTTAGGAATTTGTAGGTTGTTCTCTAATTTTGATCTCTATTGTGTGTATGTATATATATATATTATATATATATATATATATATTCCCAATCACAAATTATTTATTTAGCACTTTGTCCCTTGTATAGTTGCAGCAACTAGCGCAGAACATTGTGTCGCTCACAGTATCAGTTAAGCCACCCATCACAAAACAAAACTCATCTCGACTTTCTTTATAATTTGGTTTCATTTCAGTGGTTTAAATGTGCCGCCACATTTCCGGAGCTATGACAATGAAAGAAAACTAAAGTTTTGATGTTACATTTCCCATTGAGTTAAAAGTTCAAATGTTCACTTGCATTGCTTAGAATGGATTTGTTCAAGTTGCAGAGCGGCCAAAACTATTGTTCATACAGTGTAAAAATAAATTATAATTGAAAAAAATACCGTTATATGTTGAAATCACTAAAAGCATTACCAGCCATCTGGCTGTTTCATTTACTCGCCAAAGCCAATTTACTCACATTTGCACTTGGCAAGTGTTAATTGTTGACCCTGCACAGACACCATGCATGATATGCCAAGCACTTTAATATATAGTAGCCTAATAAGTCATGTTCTGTTGCCCAAGTTACTCCTATCTCCTTTAAAAGAAGTCATAAAAGGCATACTTAAGACAATTATCAGAATACCGTACTTGGAAAAAAATGGTCAAACTACAATCATTGTAACATGCGAAACAGTAATAATATTTAGCAGTCAGACTATGAAGGGGTCGGCATGTCAGATACTGGGCAGCCCATGCAGGGTTCTGAGAGCTTGGCATGACACCTAATAAACAGCCAGAGAAGTTAGCATATCTACAACTGAAATAAACACATATACACAGCTTTAGCCATTCTGCCAGCGTGCCTTCTCATTAAACATATACAAAACATCCTTTAGCGCTCCCCATTTTTCAGCGTTCACAATACTTATCAAAAGCTGTTGGTCATATATCACAGTAGAGAGCACTGCACTTTTATTTCACTGTTCTATTTATTTGAATGATTTTATGTATGTATTTATCGGAGTTTCCCATGAGGAACCTCACAGATGATTCTCGCAGCTGGTGCCCACGGAAGCAGAAACACCTCAAACTGAATTAGTTTCTCACCACCGTGTGATTATGGATTTCAGTAATGAAGACCACCTCAGCATCTCTGATATCTGATGACCAGCAACAGACTGGCTAAAACCGAGCAGCCAGTGTCACCTCTTTTCTCTAGCTGCCATATAATTTGGCACATCTCTTGGAACCATACAGATATCATCTCATTTTATTAGTTTGAAGAGGACACATGGCACATGCGCCATCTGTCCATCCTTACTAACGTGCACTTGCTTGAATAGGAAAGAGGCACGTTGTTTATAACACAATAGAATACTTTGGTTTCTATTTTCTTTACCTAGGTCAGGGGGTATGAATATGAATAGTAGGAACATTGATGGACTTTGGGGTTTCCTGCATGTCCATTTAATTTGCATGAGGAATGTGCCTGCATATATGAGGGGAGGGGTTGGGCTGCACGACCCAAGGCAAACGGGTCAGATGTATTTTATTAACTGTAATGAGCTTTATGAGAGATGCTTACCAAGATAATAAAACAACAGGTGATGTTTTATAAGAATAAAGACTCCTGTGTTCCTTTTAAAACAACGTTATCCAAAATACAAATGTAATTTGTTATTTCAAAACAGCCAAATATTCACTTTAGTTTGTTACTTTATTGTTCTTTTTTTGAGGGGGGGGGGGGGGGGGGGGGGGGGGGAATCAAGTAAATAAATGCATTAAAGGGATAGTTCAGCCAAAAAATGTACATCAGTGACATCAGTGGTTCAACCTTAATTTTACACTGTTTGGATTCAAACCATAGACTGTAAGAAAAGGTTGACCACGCATCTCCACTTCCTTCCACTATAGAAAATTGAAGCCAAAACATCAGTATTGCCAATGACGTCATTTGGAGCCAGAGTCTGTGCAGTAGTGATTGTGAGGGAGAGCCGCAATATCAAAGTCCCGCCCAAAAGACCCAATTGCAAGCTCCCAGTCATGACAACACACCCAGTTTTTATAGCATCAAATAACTAATTAAAAGCAAACTTATTAGAGAAACAGACACTTGAACAAACATCAGTGTGATAAGAATGATGGAAACCATCTTTGGGAAACATTTAAGAGTAATTAGATTTTTTTTTTTTTTGTTTAGCTTAGCTTACGTCCCATTCGTTTACTTGGAGAGGGCAGGGTTTATGACCTGTAGTGGAGTCAGCCACCAGATAGCGATCAAAATGTTTTGGCTTCGCTTTTCAGGATGCGTACTTATCTTGATTCAAATGTGTTTTACCCTATATGAACACCAAGCATGTCTAAAGCATGTGATAACTGATAGACTTCATCTTCAGTAAGTTATTCAGAACATTTTGGTTTTTCTGCAACTTTTTTTTTTTTTTGGTAGCAAAAGTAGAAGATTATATTATTCGGGGGGAAAAAGGGCCACAGGCAGGATTCAAACCTGTTTTTCCTACATGAGCACCAAGGCATGACATTTCTGAAGCTTGTGCCTCATATCCAAGCTCTTTTGTGCCGAAAAGCCCTTCCCGACCCAAAAAAAACTAAAAAAGACACAAAGCAGTGGGCTGCTCCATGGCAGAGGCCTGCATATATTTGAGTGGAAACATTCAATATAGAGCTTCAAAAAGTGGGAGTTCTGAAGAGACTGATTCATGTAAAGATAAAGGGAGTGAAAATGGGAAAACAAAGAACCTGTGTAAAGAGCAAACAAACTTTCACCTTCTGCTTGGATGGTTTCTACGAAATGTCTTTGTATATGACCCAACATGCTGCCTCTCCAGATATACCCACATCAGCCTATATTACAGAGAGGAAAATACAAAGGGGAAAAACAACCTGAAAAGGAAATTAAAAATCCAAAAAATATATTTATATATTTATATTTATATATATTTACGAGGTATGTATCCACAAAAAAGAACAAAAACAAGCAGTCTTTTTCTAACCTTGTGTCAAAGTCCCAATTAAAATAATAATAGTTATAATAATAATAATATCAATAGTAAATCAGCAAACCAAAATAAGGAGACTAAGCTCCTAGAAGCGTAGCACTGAGAGTTCAGTCAGCTTTCTCCAAAGGGAGTCCAAAGCATCAAAGCCTCAATCCACCAGATGGCGCTGCAACACACGTTGAGAAACTTTTTTTTCCTTCATATTAAGTCCAAAAAAATAATAGTTCCAAGAGTTCAGCAGAAAACGTATTAAACCAACGTAGCTGAAAGCCTGTGGCCCCCTGGCAACCGTGTCTCTGATTTCCTGAAGCTGTTCAGGGTCTCCACAACAAAAGGTGTCTTGTGCAACAAAACAAAAGGAAGAGCAAAAGGAAACTCGAATCTAAAATAAAAACACAGGAGATGTGATCCTCCTAGAGATTGTTAGTGAGGCTGTATCCCGCCTTCCTTCAAGGTCATGCCAGATACTGCTGCATCGCCGTTTTTGCCCTGAGAGAAAGAGGGAGATGTGAACGGTTAAATCATTACTATGGCATCAAACCAAACATAAGATGAAACAACTACCAACAGATGAATGCCAGTCTGTCGATCACCTGTCACAGAGGTTGGGATCTGATGCCTGGGTGAGTTTGTGTAAGATATCAACGAAGCCCATCTCCCTTAGCTTGTCTTGTCTCTCTTGTGAGCCTGGAAGAAGTGAAAAAACACAAACTTGTTTTCTTGACAATACACAAAGAGTCCTATTTAACACGAGGACTGGTCTTACTCTCAGATACAAATAAACAACACTAAGAAAATCTTCACAAAATGTATTTCCAATGCTGCACTGTTGTTATTTTCTGAAACAGCATTGTATGCCTGAACAAATTGTTTAGAGGAATAATAATAAATAATAATAATAAGAGCCTCCAAATTAAATATTTAGGACAAAATTAAGATGTTAATATTTCCCCCTTGCCATTTAATCAATAACACCATTCAATTTAACATAATAAATTATTGGTGTTAGGGTTTTATTGTGTATTCTTTCTTTAGGACATTGAATGCCTTAATTCAAACTGAAAACTTAAACCAGATAGACATTTTAAATATATATTATATAAAATAATAATAAAAACAAATGATTCATGATTAATATTTTAATGATAATTTGACAGCACTAATGACACTTTTACTGTAAATGCTTTTGTGCATGTTTTTATATTTGGACAAACAGAGCACAACAGTTAAACTGTCCCACTACACCTCCACAGAACCCATGTGTCCTGAGCTCCTCACCGTCCTCCTCATTCCAGATGAGGTTAGAGATGCAGAAGGTGGCAGCCAGCTGCAGCTTCACATTGGAGTGACCCTGAAACATAGACAACAGAAGAAATTACACAAAATAAGTATAAAGCAGGAGAAAGACAAGAAGGGGCAAGAGCAAGGGACAGTGATAAGGTGGAAACAAGCAGCAGCACAAGGACACTATGGTACACACACAAAAAAAAAAAATATTGAAAAAAGCCCACAACTGAGAAACCAGATGAGCTAATGACAATGCACTGACCATGTAATATTTAATTTTTTGGAGCATGTCGTCATTGGTCATAATGAGTTCCTTGGCAGTGTTTCCGTCAGCAATATTGGCCAATATGCACAATGTCTGCAAAAGATGACAAAGCATTGTTACACATCAGCTCTGGAAACTATTAAAATCAATGCTCCTAAATGAATGCTCTGGGTTCCAAAGCAGTTATCTGCATGTTTAAGGGAATATAAAGACGTTTCATATATATATTTTTAAACTTAATATAGAAAACAATTTAAGATCAATTTTATATAGGAAATATAGAAAACAATTTAAGATAAATTTTATAACACAATATTACTGGTTTTACTGTATTTTTAATCAAATAATTGCAGCATTGATGGGAATAAGAGACTTCTTTCAAAAACATTAAACATGTATATGCCACAAAAATACCATATTTACACAGTTTAATGCACCACAGTGTATCACACTCAAAACCTGATAACTGATTCCTGTGCACAGTCAGAAAGAAAAAAGTTAAAGAAAATATAAATAAAAAGTGCACCAACTGATAACAAGACAAAAGAGCTAAAGACTTTTTCTATGGCATTTAAGATATGAACAGTTTTACATTATAAAAAGTGATTTTAAGACCTTAATACTTTTCAAGGACTTCTACAGACACCTTGAATAGACATAGAGCTTAACTTGTATTAAACTGGGAACATTCTTTTAACAAAATGCCTGTGGAATATAATAGCTGCTTGAGATGTCTTACTAGTCTGATTCTGTAAGACCCAGTGAGCACAATGCCATCTTAGTGTGTTTGAGCAGCTCACCTGCTCTTTGACCTCTATGCTGTGTTCTCCCTCCAGAATAAGCGTGACCGCTTGCATTATCTGCTTCCCATGTGAGCTCATGATCTGGTCTATATGCTGCCAAAGACGGGGAAAGACAATTAGTGTGTGTCTTACAGAAAGGCCATAATCTTGTTAGACAGTGGAAGGGAATATATCAGGCCAAGTGTGTGTGTGGGTGTGTGTGTGTGTGTATATATATATATATATATACACACATACAGTGGCTATAGAAAAGAATCCCTCCCCCCTTTAAAATAATCACATTGTGTTGCTTTGTAGCCTGAAATGAAGACAGACATGGTTTTAGTTTTATCCAGCTGGATTTACTCTTGTATGTGTATGTGTGTGTATGTGTATGTCAACTTAAACCATCCAAGTGAAAGATATAACACCAACATGTCAGAAAAAAACAAACAAACAAAAAAACAGAATCACTGAGTTGGAAAAAGGATCACCCCTTGTGTCAGTATTCTGTTGAACCACCCTTTGCTTTAAAGGGGTCATATGATGCGATTAAAATTTTTCCTTTCTCTTTGGAGTGTTACAAGCTCTTGGTGCATAAAGAAGATCTGTAAAGTTGCAAAGACTAAAGTCTCAAATCCAAAGAGATATTCTTTATAAAAGTTAAGTCAACCACGCCTACCTAAAATGGCTCGTTCTAACACACCCGCACATGTCTACGTCACGATGTGGGACGATTTGCATAATGCCGCCCAAATGTTGACGCAAAGAAAGGCGGCGTGACTTTTATTTTCGCTGTAGTATTGTTGTTGCCGCCTCCGCCATGTCGTGAAGGTGCTGTGTGTTTCGTTGTGAAAGCGAAACTACTTTGCTTGGCCTTCCAAAAGAGGATGATATCCGCTTCGTCATGCCTGGAGCTGTCCGTGCTGGTCGCTGAAATACATCAACTTCGCGCTGTGGATCGGCTTTCACCGTGGACGAAGCGGAGTCCAGCCCGGGGTCATCACTTGTGGTTGCCGCAAGCCCGCCGGCCGCCGCTCACTCTAGCCACCAGCCTCCGCTCACTCAAGGCCGCCGTGTGTGACGCTGTGTTTCGTTGTGAAAGCGAAACTACTTTGTTTGGTCTTCCAAAAGAGGACACGACTAGAAATCAGTGGTTAAGTTGTATTTACAACACTGTTCCAGAACAGTTCAACCCAAATATTCAGATGTGTGCAGCACATTTTATGGAGGATCGTTTCCTGATCCTGGTAGAGTAGACTACAATGCCGGCTGTTCTGACTCACAGACTGTAAGTAAGTTTTTTTATATATAAAGAATTTGCCACTGATGATTCAAATGCGAGTTTTGAGCAGTGTAGAGTAGCGCTTGTTGTTTGTCATTTCTCCGATCACAAATGCACACATGGTTTTATGCTTACGCGGCGTGATGCAACGCGTAAAAAGACGGTATAAGTCATTATAATCCATAATTATGTCCCCACTGGATGCAACAAATGCCTCATTTATAATGGGGTTTAATGTTTTTGTCTCGTCGCTCCGGCCGGACAGGGCATCACAGTATGGTAAGGGGCGTAACATTTCCGTCACACGCTTGATGTATTCAGCCAATCACAGAGCCAAGCACTGGATAGCTGGCCAATCAGAGCACACCTTGCTTTTGAGACTGATGAGCTTTGTAAAAATCGACACGTTTCAGAAAGGCGGGGGATAGATGAGAAACAATAATGTACAGTATGTGGAAAATAATGTGTTTTTTGAACCTTAAACCGCATAAACATTTCATTACACCAAATAATGTTATTTTTAGCAACATAATATGACCCCTTTAACTACAGCCTTTAGTCTGTTGGGATTTGTCTCTGTCTCTACTAACTTTGCTCTTCTAGTGTTTGCAATATTTGCCCACTCTTCTTTGCAGAACTGCTGAAGTTCAGTTAAATTTGATGGTGAGCGTTTGTGGACTGCAGTCTTCAAGTCATTGCACAGATTTTCAGTGGGGTTTAAGTCTGGGCTCTGACTAGGCCATGCAAGGACATTCACCTTTTTCTCCTTCAACCACTGTGTGCTCAGTTTTGCTGTGTGCTTTTTCAAACTCAGTCATTCTGTTTTTGTTTTTTTCTGGCATGTTGGTGGTGTTATATCTTTCACTTGGATATTATTATTTACACAGTGCAACTTTAGCTGGATAAAACAAAAACTGTCTTCATTTCAGGCTGCAAAGCAACAAAATGTGATTATTTTAAAGGGGGGGTGTATATATATATCCTCCTGACAACCAGCTATGGAGTTTTGTCCTCTGTAGAGGACATTATTTTTTAGTGATTTATCTGAGACCTTACATGTCACAGTTGTAAGTCTGGATGTCCTGTAAAGAGCACATTCAGGGCTTTTCAGAGATACCAAATGTTTGGATGTTTCACCATGGCCACTCCCTCTCCTTGGTCTTAAAAAATGCTGACATTAATTTAACAATCAAATTCAACACCCTTATGGAAATATGATATTTTGTAATGATCATTTAAATCTGACTAATTTTCCAATTGTTTGTCATAAATCAACATCTTAGGAAAATGTTATGGGGTTTCAAATCAAAATATGACTTTCTGTTATGAAACAGGACATCGATGTCCAACTGTAGAGGACACCAGGACTAAAAGCATGTTTATTACACATTTTGGGAGACACAACAAATGAATAGAGAAATAAATTATATTATATTTTCATTACGTTGCCCCAAAAACAAATTAATATGCAAATGAGATACAGTGTATAGATACATTGCACATAACAGGACAACCGGTTTATGGCCATTTTACGCACATGCTGCATAAAGCAAAATGGTATAACAAATCATTCTGTTATATCTTTCATAACATAGTTGAGAATAATTTTTATACAAAGTTTGCTATAAAAATCACTGTTTTTGCCTTTTCATGTCATTTTTATTTATTTTAATAACAGGACTTTTTAAAGTCCTGGTGTCCTCTACAGAGGACATAGCATAATATATGAATTAAAATATAATTTTATAATAAATGTTATTTTTTTCCATTTTTCCATTTTTTTCTTATGCTCTAAACAATATAATGACATGAAAAACATTAAATTCAACTTTCAACTTTAACTTACTGGCCGGGTGGAGAGCAGGTTTCGAAGTAGCCCCAATGTTTTCATGAGCACATTGGTATCAGGATCAGACAGGAGTCGAAAAAGCTGTTCTGTGCCCAGAGCTTGAACTATCTCCACCTTCACTTTCTGATCTGCCTGGAAGGCCATGTTCTAAACAAACACACATTACAGATTCTGATGACATAGAATGTTTTCATACCGAAACTCTGGTGTGGAGCGAAGTCAGTTGGTCTTACCATGAGAGCCCAGATGCCGTTGACCCTTAGAGCTGGACTGTCACTTTGTGTGAGGCTGCATAGTAACTCAATGACCCCAGACTCTAAGATAGGCTGTGAACACACATATCCGCAGTCACCTTTTTAAAGCCCAGTGGCACTGGGAATAACCCTGGCATCTTTATTTAAAAGAAAATCTTATTCTTCTGTTAATAATATTGCTATATGCACAAAGAAAATGTGAGTGGTCAGTGATTATTAAAATATCTAATTTTATTAAATTATAAAATTAAAACCAATAAAGAAATATATTACTGTAGTAATATTATACTGTAAAAAAACAGAGCATTTAATAATAAAGTTTAAGAAAAACTTTGATGTTGGCTTGAGAAAGCCTGACCAGAAAGTCTGTAGTAGTTTTAAAAGCTTTACGTTTTACGTAGTTCAATTATAATTATAATATTCCTTTTACTGAACAACTGTAAGAAATTTTAAATCCTGGCTGTATAACGCTAATAAACCAACAGTGCGTGAACTTTACCTCTTTGCTAGGTGAAAACTCCAGCAGTAGGTTGCATAGTGTTGAAGAGGCCATGACCAGGACCTCATCTGGTGCGTTCTGTAACAACTACCCACAAAAACAAATGTGCATTCAATTAGGGTTTGATTAGCGTCCAGATTTAACTCAACATCATCTGAATATCATACCTTCATTAGTGGCTTCCATACTGCATGATCATGGAAACTTGTCCTTAGTTGTTGTACAGACCGTGATAAACTGTGCAGACATCTAGAGGAAATTTGAAAGAAATAAATTAAAATAAAAGAGCAAAGCAAAACCTTTTATTCTCTAAATTCTTTCAAAATCCAATTGTTGTGCATTTTCAACAAACATATTTTACATTTATTCAAGTATTCAAACGTTTGAAGTCTATATGATTTTTAAAAATGTTTTTGAAAAAAGTATTTTGCGCTTATCAAGGCTACATTTATTTGAAATCAAAATCTTTTGTGACATTAGAAATGTCTTTGTCACTTTCATATATATATATATATATATATATATATATATATATATACAGTGGGGAAAAAAAGTATTTAGTCAGCCCCACTGTATATATATATATGTGTGTGTGTGTGTGTGTGTGTGTATATGTATATGTGTATACATATATGTATATATATATACTGTATATATACACACACACACACATATTATATATATATATATATATATATATATATATATATATATATATATATATATATATATATATATATATATATATATATATATATATATATGTATATATATATACTGTATATATACACACACACACACATATTATATATATATATATATATATATATATAATCTTACAGACCCCCAAACTTTTGCATGGTAGTGTACAATGGCGGTTTTAATTCTCTTAATTTTTTTGCCAGTCAATTAAGAGAAAAGGTGCATCATACCTGACTGCTGCTAACCGTACTTTGATACTAGATTCTGATAGGCCACTAACAATCCTGTCCATCATGTTTTCCGTCTCTGTAATCTGTAGTAGGGAAATTAATGTTAACATCCTAAGAAAATTCACCACAGCTACCTAATAACCTGTTTTAATTGTCAAGGTATCAAAGTAGTCAATATTCCAGTCATGTCGTTGACTATTTTTTAGCACTTACAATATAATATAATAGAATTGAATGCATCACCTTTTTCCTGATGTCCTCGTCATTGGAGCCCAGCGAGGCATAAAGTTTAAAGGCTGCTTGCCGCAGCTCATGTGCATGTTTCAAGTCATGGTCCAACTACAGGAAGACAAATGATCAGTTAAACTGAGTGTACATTTCATCGGAAAAGCAAAAGGTACCTGGTTACACCTACTATTGAAATCTATATACTTAGCTTTATACAAAAACAACAGAAGTCTCTGGTATGTCCTCATTTAGAAAGCTAATTAAATGTGTGTATGTGTATGTGAAGTTACCCTCTTAATATCAGTGATGGCGCTGACAGAGCTCGGGTATTTAAAGTAGTCAGCCAACATGGACACGAGGTGATCGGTGACACTTGCAATCCGCTGTAGTTCTATGTCCGGCTCCATCAGGTAGGCTAGCGTCTCAGCCCCCTCCACCCTCTCCTCCAGTAACCGCTCTTTACTGCACATCCGCACCAGGCATGGTAAAGTCTGTCCACACACGCAGAACTAGTTCCAACGCACTTTCAATGGTGACACTTTTGCATTCATCACAAATATGTAGATGTTTTTTGGAGGTACCTTTAGTACAATACAATTGTCGTCTGTCCTGATGGCTCCTGCTCGACACATGTATGTTAAACTGAGAGAAAAAGAGCACGAGTTTGTAAAAGCTGAAGAGATTAACCATGTATTTTCACAAATAACCTGCGAGATGAGATTTGCTCACCATTTGGCGGCTGTAAGCTGCATTTCGATGGGTTTGTCCCTTTGCATCATTCTAACAAAAACCTGAGAGAGCTGCTCACCATCTACAAGCACTGAGAAACATATACATATAAACAAAATAATATGAGTTTCAGCAGGCTTAAGCATTATTTTATTAATTGTCTCCATAGACATACAGAAAACCTAAATCAATGTTTTAAGCTTTGAACCAAACCACCAGCTCTTACATAATAACAACATCTGATTCAAAGAAAAAAGGAACATAGCAAAAAAGGATGAATCAGACTTTATGTGATTTGCTATGAGAAAACTCTGCTGATAATTTTAGGCTCTAATACTACACCATAAACTAATAAAATCAAATGTTTGCCGTCAGTAGGATTTGTGCAAAGGTTTTGAAGTCTCTAATGCTCACAGGCTGCATTTATTTGCTCAAAAATACAGTAATATTGTGAAATACTGTTACAATTTAAAACAACCGTTTTCTATTCTAATATATTTAAAAATTTAATTTATTCCAGTGATGGCAAAGCTGAATTTTCAGCAGCCATTACTCCAGTTTTCAGTGTCACTTGATCCTTTAAATCATTCTAATATGCTGATTTGGTGCTCAAGAAACACTTATTATTATCAATGCTGAACACTGTTAATATTAATATTTTTGTTCTGAATGTTATGTTTTACTTCCAGAAACCTACTGTTGTGCACTATTCTTTTATTTCACTGAACAGTGTTTCAGATATTACCAAAGATAATGAAAAACTGCAACAGAAAAGAGAAGTCAAAGATAATCGCTGATGAACGTAAGCCAGGATGACAAAATAAGTGGTGATCAAATGATGGTAGACAGAGGATGAGGGTCGTGCTCACCATTCACCAGTGTCATAGAGACCTGAGCGTTCTCATAGGCCAAAACTGAGAAACACTTCAACGCCTGCATTCGTACCTACGGAGAGAGTTCACAAAACATAATTACCCAGAATACACTGACATGCATAAAAAATACAATAATAAATGGAAAAGCCATTCGGTTCCTTTTTGTACCTTATAGGAGGGAGAGATGAGCAGAGGAGCAATGTTCTGGATGGCACCATGGTTAAACAACACCGTCTGATGTTCTGGAGTCTGGACACACACATTATTCAATGCATTTTTCAATAGAGACAAAAGAAAAGATTACTTTGCCAAGAAGCCTGAACTGTAATACTGCAAACATTTTACAGTTTGCCATGTGGCCACAGGTGCATGCTAATCCTTAAAGGGATAGTTCATCCAAAAATTAAAATTCTTTCATCATTTACTCACCCTCATGTCGTTCCAAACCTGTATGAGTTGCTTTCTTATGTTGAACACAAAAGAAGATATTTTGAAGATTGCTGGTAATCAAACAGTTGGTGGTTGCCATTGACTTCCATAGTATTTGTTTTTCCTACTATGGAAGTCAATGACAACCACCAACTGTTTGATATCTTCTTTTATGTTCAACATAAGAAAGCAACTCATACAGGTTTGGAACGACATGAGGGTGAGTAAATGATGACAGAATTTTCATTTTCGGGTGAACTATCCCTTTAATAAGGCTTGGAATAAAGCTTGGATGTGGCTAATCTAATCAGAATTTAGAGCTGGAACTATTTTCTTTATAATTCTGAATAAATGCATATTTACTGTGTGAGTTGTGTTGTGTGTGTTACCTTGCAGCAGTGGGCGAAGATTTGCGTGATGTATTCCTGTGTGTGCTGTGACCGACTCAGCAGGGACATGAGATGGGGGATCACAGTGGGGTCCTGGTGCAAATTGAAACATGTTAATCATACTTCTGTTTATGCATGTGCATACGTCATTTCAGAATGTGCAAGTCTGTCTTACTGTGTAGAGCAGCTGCACTGGTGTGACTGGACTGATGAAGATGGTTCTTAAACAGCGCAGACATGCCTCAATGAAAATCAGATCAGAACACAAGAGACCTGCAGAAACACAAAACACTGCTCAAAAGATTGGAATCATGAAGATATCTTACTGTTTTTGAAAGAATGTATGCTCATCAAGGCTGCATTTATTTGATAAAAATATATAGTTAAAACAGTAGTACAGTAGTATCAAAGATAGACTGAGAAGAACCTTGAAGCAGGGCTGGGATGATGTGACAGTCCACCAGGGACTTGATGTTGTTCTCTGTGCCCATTGACAGACTTCCCAACACGACCGCACATTCAGTCCTCAGCTCCAGACTAGAAGAGCTCTGCTGGAGAAGATACAGAAGTCTACACACACACACAAGTACATCCTCATCAGCAGTGATTAGCATGTAAAACAGAGAACAGAGCAAAAAAATATTTGCCATCTTTAAGGTAAGAGAGAGTCTTAATTAAATAAACTTTGTTTATTTCCAGGTTTAAATATATATATAAATATATTTTGAATCCCAGACTTTGAATATTATTTTTGGACTTCACTGTAATTTTCCAGCTATATTGGCCCAGCCCAGACAACTGGATAGATTAGCTATGATTTTTCAACCTTACTTCCTGTGTCAAAACTCATTGCAGTTCTATTGGTGGAAAAAGGGTGAAGTGGTTGGACATACCTTGGCACGGCTCCCAGCACAATTAGGTTGGCCTTCTGTCTGTTGTTTCCGATGACGGCATTCTTCATGTCACTGTCAATAAAGGTGCAAGTACTTATAACTTGTGCATAACATACCTTTTCTATGGCATAGAAACAGATCAACCGAAGAACCGAATAAATAATTTTGAGGGTGCTATTGGTCAGATAAACAACAAGCTGGGTGAAAAAAAAGCTGTTTAGTGGTTGTTGACTTCAAAATTTTAAACTACCGTTCAAAAGTTTGGGGTCAGTACATTTTTTTTAAGAAGTTAATACTTTAATTCTGCAAAGACACATTAAAATAATCAAAAGTGACAGTAAAAACTTTCACACAATTACATAAGAATTGTATTTGAAATAAATACTGTTCTATTAAACTTTGTATTCATTAAAGAATGCTGAAAAAATGTTTCCACAAAAATATTTAAACAACCCAACTGTTTTCAACATTGATAACAATAAAAAAAATGTTTATTGAGCAGCAAATCAGCATATTAGAATGATTTCTGAAGGATCATGTGACACTCCAGACGATAATGGCTGCTGAAAATTCAGCTTTGTCATTACAGAAATAAACAAATAGAAATCGTTATTTTAAATTGTAATAATGCTTTTTTTATTGTATTTAGATTTTTCTTTAAATGCAGTTTTGGTGAGCATAAGAAACTCTTAAAAAAAAAAAAACTTATTCATATGCTCATTATTTTTCACAAGTTTTTTTTCTTCTTTTTTTCCGGTTTAAATAGCCCTTCAGTATGAAACAAACATTTTTAGAAGAAAAATATTGCAATTAGTATTTCAATTAATATGGAAACTGCATGTACAATAATTAATCAAGAATTAACAATATGTTGTTTAAAACAGTTGAAGTAGACGACACTGGTGTCTTTGTTGAACTTGTCAAATGTAACTTGTTAGCGTACATTTGAATGATCAGAGGATTACAGAGGCTGATAATGAGAGCAAATAGTTACACCCTCCTAGCAGACTCTTATCTCATAACTCATTAGATGAATGCATGTACAGCACACACAGGTAATGTAGTGAGATTCTGCTCTGAACAAAATGGACATGCCGTGAAATTTTATATTTCTTTTTCTCTTCCAGAAGGCTTTTTTTGCACAAAAATGACAGACAATGCATGTGCAATTGTAATTGAAGCTTTATCTGTGCTATTCTTCATCAACAGTACCCAAAATATTTACAAATGTTTCCATAATCACAATGAACTCATGCAACGTTCAAGTCAAATCAGAATGATGTTAAGAGTTGAGTGCACATGAATGGCCGAGCAAAATAATAACAGACACACAGAGCATCAATTACAAACATCATTTGCTCTTTATTTTTTTGCATTATCACTAAAAAGCTTTCTGCCTTTGTCAGAAAATGAAGCAAAAGAGAAAGAAATATGAAATTGCCCAGTGTTGTTATTGTTAACAGAAAAAGAAACTAAAACTACTAAAAAATATATTGAAATAAATAACTGAACGTGTAATAACCTGTAATAATATAGCCTATTTTAGCGAGATTAGTGATAGCTGCATAGATACCATTTCTCTTTTACCCATTTCCCCTCTTCTTTTTTTTCCTAAATTGGGCTCCTGATGGCATACTTTCTCTCTCTCCATTCTTGAGTCACCTTAGTGAAAATGAATGTGAAATGAAAAGTGAAAATGAAATGAACAGTGACGATTGCGGCATTATTATTATTTTATTTATGTATTTTTACAGCGGCGTGCATTACAACTAATCACACACGATTCCGTTGAGTTTATAAATCCAGTAGACAATCAGAGGCGTTCAGATGTGTCATCGCTGAAACACCAGAGTTTTACTCAGTGCGTGCACTCGCTGACTGAATTCTGCTCTCTCGCAAATTCTCTCATCATAAACAACAAAGTGAAGATATATGTACAATGTTGAGTTTTTTGAGAATTTAAACTCGCACTAGTCTTCGTGTTCGCTTTCGCTATACAAATTATTTGCTTGTTTGAATAACAGTGGAAATTAAAGCGTAACTTACATTGTTTTATTAAATTGTGATCACATTAAATACAAATTCAGTAGTATTGAAAAATTTCATGATGTAACACCCTTTTTTTTCTCCATGCTGTTTTTTTTTCCTTCTTGTGCGGGCGTCCCGTGCCACCCCTGGCAAGATGCCACCCTGGGCAGTTGCCCATGCCGCCCATACATAAATCCACCACTGCCCACTACAATTTGATAAATAATACTGTTTTGTATAACGGAATGTAGTTTTAAGAGTTTCTTTTTTTTAGGACGAGAATGTAGTTGTTTAGGCTTCAAATATGCGGTTTGTTAATAAAGATAAAGAAAAGACATTGTCGTTAAGATAAAGAAAGACGTTTTCGGAGATGTAAGCTCCAGGGCGTCAGCCTGCCAAGAGCAGCCTCACCTCAACCAGTTCTTCTGGAATTTGCCGCTGGCTCTGATGTCTCTATAGTGGTTAAACATGAGATATAATTCGTTTTGGGTAAATCTAACAGATAATATTTGGTCTCATTAATCTATTATTTGTTCCAGAGTGAACAGTTTTGGCTGAGGGCAAAGTATCATAACGTTATATTTTATGTAACTTCAATGCAGTATATCAGAGCACTGCCTTTGTATTTTTGACTGAATTGCTTAGCAACTTTTATGATGGCTGTTGTTGTTTATTAAATATTATTATTCAATAACAAATATTTTATATAAATAGTAGTGTTCGGGGGCGGATTTAGTGAATTGGGGGCCCCAGACAAAATATAGGAATGGGGCACAACACATTTGCACACATTTACCTAGATCAACCTTGAGGTTCCTTTTTTGTTGTGATGCTTGCTGCTGCACAATGGTGCCCCATAGTTGTGTCCAATGTTTCAAAAATTTTCATATACATGTTATAATGGCTTTCTTTCATGTTGTAGACCACAAAATAGCAATTGATTTACAGCTGAGATACAGGTTTTCACAAAACAAAATAAATTACATAATGTAGGGATGTTCCGATTGATCGGCTGGAGATCGGTACCGGCCGATAATCACATTTTATGACTCGATCGGTACTCACTACACTTGGCCGATCTCACGAACCGATCGCAATTTGATGACGTCAACGTGTGACGACGTACATGATGCATGGGGACATAAATGATTTGGTGCCACAGTCATGTCATCACCGGTGTGGAAATGCTATGACGTTTCGAGGAACAAAGAAAAATTTGCTATTTGTCGTGTATGTTTTGCATGATGATATGATGAATGGATGGTTCAGTTTTAACAGCAGATTCAGTGACGTTAGGGCTGATCTGCTGATCTGATCTTGGGCTGCTTTAAAATGAACATTTATTTATAAAACAAAATATCTTCTTTGGCCATATTAGCCTACTCAATAGCACTGACACAGGCTTTACTCCTTTCAAACTTTATCTGGAATGTCACCGTTTCTGTCACTGCAACTTCCCGATCAGGCAAACGAACACACACACACACACAAACAAAATCATCTGCCTCATGAAAAAAATGTATTTTAAAAAAATGTAGTTAATATTTGCATCATTTATGATTTATTTTACCCACCCACAAATAATCAGAGTGCATTTTTTATTACCCGACCCGTGGATTATCCGCAGCTCCCGTGGATATAGGAAAAGCAAAATATGTTTGCTGCGTAAATCAGACGGACTTACTGAAAATGCAAATTCATTCTCTGCCAGCAGGAGGTGCTTTAAAGTGGGAGAAACAGA